CTTGTATTATAAATTTACGTTGTGACCAATTTGTTATTAGAAATAAGTGTAATAATTTTTACACTTTTGCAAATTATAGGTACGTTTAAACATTAGTATGATATTGTTCAAGTAATAACCAATGAATTAATTCTTTTCTTGTATTATAAATTTACGCTATGAACAATTTATTATTAATAACAAATTGGATTATTTATACATTTTTATGAACTATAAATGTATTTGAATGACGTCATTGCCAAGAATTCCGTTCGCTTACCGCCCGCAGCCTTAAAAATCGTCAAATGTTTAACTGAAACATCGAAAATTTACAAAAGATAGGATATATCTTAAACTTTGTGCGTAGCTCTTAGCTTGGTATCGTTTTCCAAAAATTATTCTTTGGAAAACGATACCAATTACCAGGTCTCACCACGTGGAGGTGGCTACGCATCGAGACCCGACATGCGCCCTAATGGCGCAGCCTGCTGGCGCTATCTGTATCAAAGATACCCTAATCTAACTTGGAGCGAAGGAAGTTAAAGTGAAAATCTACTGACACTTTATTATATTTCGTGTCTTACAAAGGGAACTTCGATTCGGTATACTACTACTCCATTGTCGCGACACTAATATATCTTATTTTTCATAAAAATGGGAAATAAAGTATAAAACACGCGAGCAAGTTAAGAATCGCGATCGCGCCCGAACGAGATCGCGATTATTCGAAAGACCGGCTAGCCTAGGAGACGTACTCTCGTGTACAAGACAACTTCATGCCTCGGCACCCTCCCGATCGGGCCTAGCTCAAATCCAGTCACTGTCATTCTCGTAAAGACTTACACGTGGACCAAGGATAGTCCCCGAACCAATGAAACCCCAGAGTCGATACGAGGGTCCGGCGGGGCCTTGCAAGCCGGACAGACACTTCGCATCCCTGCCACACGGGGTAGAACTTAATCATCCCTGTGGTCTAACCGTAGACACTATGCCCGTCCAGTTGCATACCCGAACCCCAGTCGCGTACGCGACCGGGGCAGCTGGACCCCCGCATCAAGTCCAGAAGAATCAGTGACCCGGGGGCCACCCTGGAACTCGATGCTTGACGAGATTGACAGTGGCTGGAAATGAGTGTCGGAGACGAATCGTGAGGATGACTTATGAGACGTGAAGTTATCGAGTACACGAGAGTACGGCGCGCAGGCTAGTCGGTACTGAAGAACGATCGCGATTATCGCGAGAACAATTATGTTCTATTTGGTAAACGCAAGGGGTAAGAGACGAGAAATATGAATTATATATATTCGCTCCAAGTTAGGTAGCTTACCTTTGTACAGATAGCGCGCACATGACACTTAGTCTAGGGATCTATCTTAGGACTACTTAGGTCTACTTAGGTCTAAACTCACGCATCCCGGGTCGTCCATTGATGTGTCTCAAATAAAGTCTCGAGGAAACTTGAGAATCTTGAGAAACCTAAAAGCTAAAACAGAATATATTATTGTTAATATGAACCTGAAAGGAAACGGATTAGTACGAGGAGAGAAAACGAACGAACAGAAACCATGAAGGTTAACCAAGTGGAAAGAACAACCCACCGACGAGACAGAAAGAAACCAACGACGGGACATTCGAATATTATACGAAATATTCGAAATGTCAAATAAAAATAAATAGAAAGGAATAAATAACATCTGAAATAAAAAAAATAATTAAACCCCGAAAAGAAAAAAATTAAAATCTGAAAAAATAAAAAAATTATTAAGAACCCATCGATGAGACATGAACAACCCAACTATGAAATATGAACAACCCAACGATGAGACATAAACAACCCAACGACGAGACATTCGAATATTATACGAAATATTTGAAATGTCAAATAAAATTAAATATAAATGAATAAATAATATCTGAAATAAAAGAAAATAATTAAAACCTGGAGAAATAAAAAATAATTAAAATCTGGAAGAAAAAAATAATTAATAGCTGAAAATAAAAAAAATTATTAGTAAATTGTTTAAGGGGGTGAGAGGTGGGTGGGGTAGTCAACCCCACCTCACTCCGGACCCACCCCCGCTCCCGCACACGGAAAAATTTAGATGTTACACTCCCGATGCCAAACCGGCAAATGACTTGATCATCCGAGCGGCGTCCCTTATATAGCCTCCGATTGACCGAGTTCCCCACCCCGATCAGAAATTTTCGAATTTTGTTAATTTTATTAATTATTAATTATCCGTTCTTATAGCCAATAATTTATTCAATTTCTTACTGCCATTATAAATATACGTTGTGAACAATTTGTTAGTAATAATATTAATTTGTTATTAACAATCAGTGTAATAATTTGTAAGCTTTTCGTAAACTATAAGTATATTTTAACACATGTATACGATGTAAGCTCGAGTAATAGCTGGAAATTTATTAATTTTTTCACTTTTATTATAAATGTACGTTGTGAACAATTTGTTATTAATAATAAATTTGACAATTCATACATTTTTACAACCTATATCTACATTCGTACTTCCACAAAATAAATTTCTATAATACGTATATGTATGTCAAAATATTTTTATTTCCTCTGTACTTCTGGCTGAAATGAAGTATTATGCGAAAATAAAAAACATTAGAATATTTATTCTCATCATAAAAGTTAGGTGAAAGTTAATTTTTTAACTGTAAAAAGTCATCCGTCTTTATGTATCGAATAACGAAACTGTTTCAGATTACAAGTGATTTAGAGAAATTTCTTATAATTTTACGATTAGTATAAAAGAGTACATAAGAACATATACATGTGATATATATAAAAATTTCCAAGAATTCCATAGACAATACTTTTCCGGTCTTGACATAAAATTTCTGGTAAATTTTGCGATTCTGTATCAGGAATACATAACATGAAAGGAGATCGTTCGTCGATAAAATTCAGAGAAAGGATGTCATTTCCAAGAATCACTGCAAAGAAATTTCCTGGTTCATACTCACCTGTTTTATGCTTACCTGTATATTTACCTGTTCAGTGCATGTTGGTATAACACATTTTTTAGTGTTCTGAGAGATTGATAATTTTTTAAGGCTGTGTGTAGATACTGTAGGTTTCTGACTTGACGATACTCATATATTTGATTGGTGCATGTACAACTTTATTGATCGCATTGCAATTGTGCTGACAATATTACGTTACCACTTAATATATCTATACTTACATTGATAGTTACATAATTATTTATGTACTTACACAATCACAGTTACAATTGGGGTAAATTACTTTGATTGTTTTATTTTTATCGTGTTAGTTATAGCTATGAGTCATTTGTTACTAAGATTAACTTTAAAGTCAGTCTTCTTTTTGAGACACTAAAATATTTGTATTACATTTTTTATTGCACTATTTGCATAGGAATAGTGATATTTCTACAGAGAAATACTACATCGGTATGTGTAAAAATCATATTTATGAGATTGATCAAATACTACGTTTTTTGTTGGGTTTTTATTTTTCGATTTAGTCCCGATATAACGTTAGTTGTGACATGTGAACCAATCTTAAAGTATTAGACATAGACGTGGCAGCAGTTCCTTTGTGTTTGAAGCTATACGGCTAGGCTACCGGGAATACCGTCGCTAACCGCAGCGCAATGGATCATGAAGTATAGGCAGGTTTAGATAAGATTATTTTGAGTGTCGTAAAGTTTTATTAATTTTCAACGGTATATTGGAGTTCGGTTCGATAAACGGCTACTAAGATGTCTGGCTTCGATGAAAATCCTTTCGGGGAACCGAATATTAATGATCCGTTTTCAGTAAGTATTTCAATAGCGGCTACAGCCGAAGCACACACTATTTCGTTCAATATTGCATATAAAACTGTCAAATGGAAATAAATATGTTTAATTGACTATATTAATTTTTTCATGATTGTCGTTGAAGACTTTTATTATGCCTCGATATTAATTCATTAATTTTCTGATATTCATAAACTTTTTGCTGTTTTTTTTTTTAAATTTATATCTTATTATTTACGTTTGCTGTATTAGTTTGGATTATTTATAATGTTACTACTTATTATTTTATCAATAAAAAATTGACATTTCAAGGGAGTGTTTCAACCAATTTTTATTCAATAAAGAAATTCTTTGAACTACTGTTGACTCTATATATAGGCATCCTCTAAAAATATACATTCTTAAAGTATTACCATATCTAACTTTCTTTGTATAATTGATCGTTACATAAATGAATTAAGTAACAACTAATAATTTTTTAAATTAGGATCCTGCAATAAGGAGAGCTGTATCTTCTAACCCAACTAATAGGGGTTTAGAGGATTATAATCCTTTTGCAGAACAAAGTTCACAGGGAACTGCACAAGTCAGAGGTGCTTCAAATCCTCCAATCTATGGAGGTCTTGGAGCAACACAGCAGCCAGCTACATTACAACCTTCAAATCAAGAACCTCAGGCAACTAACTATGCTCGTCCTCCACAACCGAAGCCAAATGTAGGACTAGGCAGCCCATTATCCCCAACTGCAGATGTAAATGTACGTAAAATATCATGTTCCAAGATATTATGCAGCAGGCTGTAATATTATACTATATTTTTAAAAAATTAATATATTTTAGCCGAGATCAGAGCCCGAATTGAAAACAAGAACAGAGGATGAGATGAGACCACCATACTATTGTGAGTTGAATTAAACAATAGGCAGATATCTAATATATTTCTTTTATTACAACATAGCAATTAAATATGTTTGACTATTAAAGCACAAACAAACAACTGGCCACCATTACCTGATAAGTGCTGCTTCCAACCTTGCTTCCAGCAAGATATTGATATGGAAATTCATATAAACTTTCAGAAGGTAGTCAGGCAACTATACCATCTATGGATATGTAAGTTTAATTTATTGCAGATAATTTTAATAAGCAAAGTATAATTTTCTATAGCAAATGATAAAATAATAATTTTGAATTACAGTTCACAGCTGTGTTTTAATACTTAATGTTATTGGTGGATTCATTTTATTGTTATGTAATAAAGGATTTTCAACATTTGGTCTTGGAATATTGTATCTATTACTTTTTACTCCATTCTCGTTCTTATGTTGGTTCAGACCATCATACAAGGCATTCAAGTATGTACTTGATTGTACATTAACATTTCTATACTTACGTTATTATTAATAATTTTTTTATTTTAGAAATGACAGCTCTTTTAACTTCATCGTATTTTTCTTCGTCTTTTTCTTTCAATTAATTGTCACAGCGATTCAGGCTATAGGTATTCCTGGCTCAGGAACATGGTAATATTTTAATACTCGACCCACAAATATATATCAACAATCGTATTCTTTACCTAATTCTTTAAATTTTTATAATTACAGTGGTATTATTGTTGCTATCCGGATGTTCGACAATACAGCTAAAGGAACATTTGTTGGCTTCTTGTTACTCCTTATTGCCATCTGTTTTGTTCTCACTGCGTGTGGTGAGCTGCTATTATTAACTAAGGTATGGTACCGTAGTCATGCAGTTTCAAAAAATATATTTTACAAATAACTAAATATGAAATGATAAAATGTAAATTGTAGGTTCATCGCATATATCGCTCATTGAATGTTGTGAGCGTTTCAAAAGCACAACAAGAGTTTGCCACAACTTTCTTGCGCAATGAACATTTGCAACGTGCGGCAGGTAATTTAGCTAGTAGTGCTGTCCGCGCCCAAATGGCTAACACTGCTAATCAACCACGCTATTAAAGTGATTTCGACACACTCCAGGATTTATTCTTCAGGTACTCTGATGTTTTACCGCTCAGTAAATTTATAGATCATTTTAGTTTCAATGCATTTAATGTGCATTACGCAAAACTTGAAATTAGAATGTTCCATAGAAATTCTATTCGTACATTGAAAAAATTATACTATCCTAGAATCATCTTCTTTGGTGCGTTTGAAGTTGTATCCGTGCATGTTCTCTTCGAAAGAAGATTGATTATTCGTATATTGACATACCTCGTCGATATTCACAAATTTACTTCTAACAAGTGTTTTACAATTTATTGTTATGTATTTCTTTTTTTCGTAACAGTATTTTAAATCAAATTAACACGCAATAACGTATGCGTACGTATGTGTCTCTGTATTATCTAACATATGTCATGTATATCATTTTTTGTTTGTATTGATTAAAAGTGAGTCACAAGATAATTTATCATCTAGTGGAGAAGCGAGCTATATAATAATCATATCACTAATTCTTATATTATTGCTTCTATATATATATGTATATATATATGAT